TCATCGGTTCCCAATTGCGCAGATCGATGTTCATGCTGGTGATCACTGGATTGTCTGGTCCAGACTCGATTATTTACAAATCCGCCGACACATACCTGGAATATTGCTGAGTTCGGCGTAAAACTAAACTCACTCACTCACTCATCAATAGGAGACACGTGATGAAAGAACATGCATTCTGTCCGTAAAATATATTTGTGATTTACTATACTTCGAATGACCATATATGGGTTCTATACACAGTAATTTCATGGATAGTGGATAGTGTGTACTGAATGGGCAGTTGCTTGGGTCTTTCAGCATTCATCATAAAAGGGCGGTGGGGTAGCCCAGTGGTTATAGCGTTTGCTCGTCACGCCAGAGACCCAGGTTCGATTCCCCCCATCGGTACAATGTGTGAAGCCCATTTATGGTGTCCACCGCCGTGATATTCCTGGAATATTGCTAAAAGCGGCGTAAAACTAAACTCATTCACTCACTCACTCAGACTCACTCACCCACCCAAAACGCACTCACTCACTCATTTGTAATGCATAGCTTCGTAGTAAATGTTCATGATACTTCGTAGCCTGGCGAATACATTTATAGATCTTTCGGTACGAGAATAAAACCGCAATGGCATATGAATATCATGTTAGTGTGGACAGAGGGTTAGTAAAATGATCGAGGAGTACACAGTTAATACATTATTGATAATCGTCTATCGATACGCGCGGATCAGGAATAGTTGGACTAATAGCATACCCGATCATCAAATAATAGAATGTGAGTCCATGTGCGATACCCTCTCCAAACACGGTTCACGCTCTAAACTCTCACATTCAGGGGTTGAGGTGTCTGTCCAACTCTGCGTTAAATTCATAGCAGGGAAGCCAATATACATAAAGAAAATACACGATGATAATCAATCAGGCAAAACCTTTTTCATGTACATCAGTATTATGGATTTGGAAAGCACGACTGCGTAACCGTTTCCAAAAAGATAATTTTCCAGCTGATCATATAAATGATTAAATCATATTATTCTTTATGGCAATAATTCGTATTGCAGGTGCAAGCATTCTAAATAGGGCTTGTCGTAAGAGGCGACTAACGGGATCGGGTGGTCATGCTCGCTGACTTGGTTGATACATGTCATCGGTTCCCAATTGCGCAGATCGATGTTCATGCTGGTGATCACTGGATTGTCTGGTCCAGACTCGATTATTTACAAATCCGCCGACACATACCTGGAATATTGCTGAGTTCGGCGTAAAACTAAACTCACTCACTCACTCATCAATAGGAGACACGTGATGAAAGAACATGCATTCTGTCCGTAAAATATATTTGTGATTTACTATACTTCGAATGACCATATATGGGTTCTATACACAGTAATTTCATGGATAGTGGATAGTGTGTACTGAATGGGCAGTTGCTTGGGTCTTTCAGCATTCATCATAAAAAGGGCGGTGGGGTAGCCTAGTGGTTAAAGCGTTCGTTCGTCACGCCGAAGACCCGGGTTCGATTCCCCACATGGGTACAATTTGTGAAGCCCATTTCTGGTGTCCCCCGCCGTGATGTTGCTGGAATATTGCTAAAAGCGGCGTAAAACAGTACTCACTCACTCACTCACTCACACATCATGAATACCACAACAACAAATCTGGATCGACATACTGGATTGGGTTCAAATAAACAGAGAATGTCCTTAAATGGAACCGAAAACCCGTCGGGTTCATCGGGCCATTTGAAATATTTTTACCTTTCGGTTGGGGACTGACCATGAAGGAAACAAACGCGTCTCCACCCACTGCATACGCTCCCAGACCTTATCCAACGTACCACTGGTCATCATACACTGTAGCAATGAAAGACTCAATCTACATCGGCGTTTAGCAACAAACAAACTTAATGATCGACGGGAGGTGGGGTGGACTTGAAGGTGAAGCGTCCCCCCATAGCGTCGAAGGTCCGGGTTTGATTACCCACATGTGTGAAGCCCATTTCTTGTTCCTCGTCTCCCTAGTCGTAATATTGCCGGAATATTGCGAAAAGCGACGTAAATCTGCTAAACTCACTCATACATTCTTAATATTCGATCCTTATATTTAACGGCACAATGAAAATAGTTTGATGTAATGTTCATGCATGTTCAATGCATAGAAACAACATCCACGTAATCGTGAGTGAGCGAGTTTACTCTCACGTCGTTTTTAGTAATATTCCAGCACTATCACGACGGGGAACATGAGAAATGTTCTTCACACATTTTACCCATGTGGGGAATCGAACCCGGGTCTTTGGCGTGACGAGCGAACGCTTTAAAACTGGTGGCCCGCTGCATCTAAAACATGTATTCGTTACAGAGAGTAGGAGATATGTTTTTACATTTATGACATAATTCCCTTTACATTATCATGTCGATATGTTTCATCACGAAGCGTCCGGGACGTTGTTATAACGCTGACGTATCACGCAGTAAATATTTACCTTATTCTCAGTTATTCAGACTTATTCATTAAGACACAAGCCCTGTCCTTAATCGCCTTGATGTATTATGCCGAACCGCTGTATCCACTCCTTCCAATAGTTGGTGACCCGTGGAGATCCGGGTTAGAGAGATCAGTAACCCACGCTTGTCGTAAGAGGTGACTAACAGGATCGGGTGGTCAGGCTCGCTGATTGGTTGACACATGTCATCGTATCTCAAATGTGTAAATCGATACTCATGCTATTGATCACTGGATTGTCTGGTCCAGACTCGATTATGTACAGACCGCCGCCATATAGCTGGAATATTGCTGAGTGCGGCGTAAAACTAAACTCACTCATTGCTATAGTTGGAATATTATCAGAAGCGTCATACAATATTTGTCTTTCGCTATTGTTTGTAACGTTTTTGATGGCAGTATAATGCAGTATGTATTACATGGTTTTTGTTAAGGCTCAGGAGAAGTTAATAACATTGTGTATTAACAGTAAATACATAATATATTACTATCAAATGTAAGCGGTATTGCAGAAGTAACTATTCTTTGATGATTTGGAATCGGGTGTAAGTTGGAAATCTCCAAGAACCCCTACAGTTTACTCCAACATGGTGTAGAGCTTTCTAGAAAGCTGGTTGGTTGGTTTATTGCTTAAGGCCGCACTAAGCAATATTCCAACTGTATGGTGGCGGTCTTGAAGTAATCGAGTCTGGACCAGACAAGCCAGTGGTCAAAAGCATGAGCATCGATCTGCACAACTGGGATACGATGACATGAAATTAAGTCAGCCAAAACCACAAACGGACTTTCCCAATTAGAGGTGAGGTGAGGTGAAATTTGGTTTAACGTCGTGCTTGAGAATATTTCGCTCATATGACGACGTGCATGCGTTTGTATGTGTATGTGCGGATGCTTTCCCAATTAGACCTGAGAGAAGTTTATGTTAGATCTGTGAAAGTACCACTAAGATAGCGCAACAAGATCGAGGATTAGACGTCCAGAGAATTAATTCAGATATCCATCTTTGATTTGGTTTTTTGTTGATGAGCACCACGCCGTATTTATTGACATATATTACTGGTTATGAATTTTAAATTTTATTTATCGAGGTAAGAGAAAAGGATCTGGCTTTCGTCATACCCTATTGACCTTACATTTAGTGTGATTTGGGATGAAATGTACTGCCACGAACGGGATGGTTTCTGGGATGGTTTGTGAAGCGCTCGTACAATATAATTTGTCACTGAATTCATATCAATATCAAGGACTTATTTTATATTTCTTTTGGTTCACGTGTTATAAAGTCAGGTTTTCCGCTTTTAAAAGAGACATTGGTCAATGGTCTTGTACCCATACTCCGAGGCTGTTAACGGGTTTTTTTTTCAGGAACAAATAATATTTTTTCCAAAAAGTCCAAGACAACCTGTCTTCCATCAGAAGAATACAGAATAGTGGGTATGCAGGAGGAGGGCAGTTGTAGTGTCCTTGGCCAACAACATGAAAACAACAACAACAACAAAACCAAAGCAAAAAGAAAAGACAAAAAGACAAAAAAACTTCCAGACAAATAAAAAGATAACTCTTCACAGAGTGTCCTTAGAGAGAGGTTTAAGTGGTACTGATCTAATATTATGAATGATTGACATCACTTAAGTCGAGTATTCGAACTTGACCTTCGAGTCTGCAGACAGAGGTCCTTTTGTGAGTTTACAGATCCTTGGAGATTGTTGGACATTGTTAACGTTGGCGCAATGATTGACAATGTAGAACGATCCTGTCGCCTGTTAAATTGTGAGCCGGAAGAGGGTTACTGGCAGATCACTGAGAAGAGCGCGCGGTATCGTCATACACTTAAGTATTGGTGAAAAACGGAAAATATTTTATCAGAAATCAATACATACACATCGGTGCTCAATAAATGTTTTCTTCATTGTCTCATTTTGCATGTCCAAAAACATGATGTCAGTCGTATTGGCCCTTGACTGATACTCTATGCAACCCACGTTGTCGTGTTGTTTCCCGAACATTTACGGACACTTCACTCGGTCATTTTCACACTTTAATGAAAGATTGAATGTGTGTTTGCGTGTTGCTTAACGCCGCAGTTAGCAGTATTCCAGCTCCATGACGACAGTGTGTAAATCATCAATCATGGGATACAATTACTAGTGCAATCGAATCAACCTTACAACAAGCTTAGGATCCGGCTTAGAATTGGTCATCAGCAACCCTTACTTGTAAAAAATGCAACTAACGGGATCGGGTGGTCAGGCTCGCCGACTTGGTTGACACATGTCGTCGTATCCCAATTGCGTAGATCGATGTTCATGCTGTTGATCACTGCACTGTCTGGTCCAGACTCGATTAGTTACAGACCGCCGCCATATAGCTGGGATATTGCTGAGTGATGCGTTACACAACCAAGCAGCCAACCAACACCAAGCTTAGGTTGCTGGAACACCTACGTAATACATGAAATGAGAAAGATACAATAATTGTTTTATTACAAAGAATAATAGGCATCTCGAGAATACAAAATAATTCATTAATGACGTCAATGTTGATATTCTTCCAAAAGCCAAGGATAAGGCTATACCTCACTGGTCTATGCAATATATTTGATCATCTTTGGTACCGTATTTTCACCACATATCTCAGCCGTATTTACTGTAGATTAACCAACCAGGGACGTAAGAAACATCTGTGCTGACTGCGGTGTTTACACTGAAACACTGATGACGAAGGACAGTAGTAGAGTTGTTGCCAGGATGGTAGCACGTCCAGTTCCATTTTCTGAAATGAATTTCAACATGTATATAGTTCTCCCTCCCTCAACCTTCTCCCTCCCTCCCTCCCTCCCTCCCTCCCTCTCAGGTCCTCTCTCTTCCTCTTTTTCTCTCTCCTCCCTCTTTTTCTCTCTTCCTCACACTTACTCTCTATATGCCTCCCTCCCTCTCATTCCCTCAGTCTTTCTGTTCTCTCCCGCATCACTCCCTCTCTCCCTCTATCCTCTCTGCATTCCTCTTTCAATCCCTCTCTCTTCCTTCCTCTCTCTCTCCCCTTGCTCTTTCCCTCCCTTTCCCTCTCACTCTCAATCCTCTCTTCCTCTTTCTCTCTCCCATCCTGTCTCCCAATATCTCTCTACCCATTCCTCTCTCTTGTCCCTCCTTTTCCCTCCCAGTCTCTCTCTCCCTCCTTCTTTTTCCCTCCCTCTTTCCTTCTCTATATATGATAATAATTAGCATGTTCTTTACAGTACGATCATTTCCTGCTTATCAAGAGGATTAAGTGGCAACACTGTATCACTAACACCACGTAGGCGGTTGTCACATGGACATTAATCTACATAATACTTCTATTACTGTACATGTGATAACGATGGATGCTCACCACACTTTCTCCCTTTCTCCACCTCTCTCTCTCCTCTCTGTCCCACTCTCTCTCTCATTTCATCGCTTGCTCTTTTTCTCTCCCTATCTCCCTCCCTCCCTCTCTTTCTCTCGCAACCCTCTCTCATCCTTCCCTCTCTCTCCCTCTCTCCTCCCTCTTCCTCCCTCTCACTCAATCCTCTCTCTTCCTACCTCTTCTCTCACCATATCTCTCTCCCCTTCCTCTCTTTCTCCCTCCCTCCCCCTCTCCTCCTTCTTTCTCCCCCAATTTTCTCTATATATGTATATGGTAAGGAAATTAGCATATTCTTCACATATTATTTTCATGCTTTTACCATGTTCCGACACTGTATCACGTTGGCGGTTGTCACATGGACATTGATCTACATAATACTCTGTTACTGTTCATGTCATAACGATGGGTACTCACCACACTTTCCGCCTGTATATCCAGCTGGACATATACATGTGTTATCGTTTGCACATGTCCCCCCGTTTATACAATCTGCGTTAACAGTGCAGAACAGCTTGAATACTAAAAATGGCCAAACGCCGAAGTGTCGAACCAAAGATGTGTCAAAATAGATTCTGGGTTGATGCGTGTTACATATGTAGTCAGAATATTCGGTTGTGTCGAGCATGGGATAACTCGAAGTATTCACGTACTTCGACACAATGGCCTTTGACTACTTTGAATGTGTGGGGTGTTCGTATACCAGAACAAAAACTCACCCGCATCCACCTTTCTTGGCTTGAGTATGGCTCACATTCAAAATCACATGAGTCCATATCAATATGCAAAACATCATAACACAGTTCTGAGTGAGTGAGTGAGTGAGTGAGTGAGTGAAGTTTTACGCCGGTTTTATCAGTATTCCAGCAATATCACGGCGGGGGACTGCCAAAATGGGCTTCGCATATTGTACCCATGCGGGGAACTGAACCCAGGTCTTCGGCGTGAAGAGTGAACGCGTTTAACCACTGGGCTACCCCACCGTCCCTGTATTCACAAAACACCTCAGGAGGGTAACCATGACGATGTACTTACCGTTTTGGCATGTCAGGCCTGAGTACCCAGGTGCACAAGAACACGCGTAGGGACTACTACTTGTGATGCATGTCCCGCCGTTGCCACATTCACTAGAACTAGTACAAACTGGAGCTGAAACATGTTAAATACTTTCATGTAAACTGCTCGAGAAACCTTAAACAGCTTGTATTGTTTTGTGATCAGGCACAAAAGGAAATAACGTTTATACCACTTGGCTACTCCACCGCCCCCCTTTACGACGTCCGTGGATATAGTGATGACAACCTGAACTCGTCACGTCGATGACCCGGGTTCAATTAATGCGTTGGGTGACGGTGACGCCTATTACCGAATTTTCAGAAGTCCAGACCATTACCGAATAATGTCCTGAACACTCTTTTGAATTGAAGAAACCGGGTACTCATCATTCATCCCCAATAATGACCGGGTCGTTTACTAAAGAGTTTTGATTTAACGTGCAAAAATCAGAAACAAAGATACATATTTCACAGAACAGCATGAATACTAAATGGCCAAACGCCGAAGTGTCGAACCACAGATGTGTCAAAATAGATTCTGGGTTGATGCGTGTTACATATGTAGTCAGCATTTTCGGTTGTGTCGAGCAAGGGATAACTCGAAGTATTCACGTACTTCGGCACAACGGCGTTTGACTACTTTGAATGTGTGGGGTGTTCGTACATCAGACCAAAAACTCACCCGCATCCACCTTTCTTGGCTCGAGTAAGGCTCACATTCAAAATCACATGCAAAACATCTTCACACAGTTCTGAGTGAGTGAGTGAGTGAGTGAGTGAGTGAGTGAGTTTAGTTTTACGCCGGTTTTATCAGTATTCCAGCAATATCACGGCGGGGGACTGCCAAAATGGGCTTCGCATATTGTACCCATGTAGGGAACTGAACCCAGGTCTTCGGCGTGAAGAGTGAACGCGTTTAACCACTGGGCTACCCCACCTTCCCTGTATTCACAAAACACCTCAGGAGGGTAACCATGACGATGTACTTACCGTTTTGGCATGTCAGGCCTGAGTACCCAGGTGCACAAGAACACACGTAGGGACTACTACTTGTGATGCATGTCCCGCCGCTGCCACATTCACTAGAACTAGTACAAACTGGAGCTGAAACATGTTAAATACTTTCATGTAAACTGCTCGAGAAACCTAAAACAGCTTGTATTGTTTTGTGATCAGGCACAAAAGAAATAACGTTTTACCACTTGGCTACTCCACCGCCCCCCTTTACGACGTCCGTGGATATAGTGATGACAACCTGAACTCGTCACGTCGATGACCCGGGTTCAATTAATGCGTTGGGTGACGCCTATTTTCAGTGTCCAGACCATTACCGAATAATGTCCTGAACACTCTTTTGAATTGAAGAAACCGGGTACTCATCATTCATCCCCAATAATGACGTTTACTAAAGAGTTTTTGATTTAAAGTCCAAAAATCAGAAACAAAGATACATATTTCACAGAACAGCATGAATACTAAATGGCCAAACGCCGAAGTGTCGAACCAAAGATGTGTAAAAAATAGATCCTGGGTTGATGTGTGTTACATATGTAGTCAGCATTTTCGGTTGTGTCGAGCAAGGGATAACTCGAAGTATTCACGTACTTCGACACAACGGCGTTTGACTACTTTGAATGTGTGGGGTGTTCGTACATCAGACCAAAAACTCACCCGCATCCACCTTTCTTCACTCGAGTATGGCTCACATTCAAAATCACATGCAAAACATCTTCACACAGTTCTGAGTGAGTGAGTGAGTGAATGAGTGAATGAGTGAGTGAGTGAGTGAGAAGTGAGTGAGTGAGTGAGTGAGTGAGTGAGTGAGTGAGCTTAGTTTTACGCCGGTTTTATCAGTATTCCAGCAATATCACGGCGGGGGACTGCCAAAATGGGCTTCGCATATTGTACCCATGTAGGGAACTGAACCCAGGTCTTCGGCGTGAAGAGTGAACGCGTTTAACCACTGGGCTACCCCACCTTCCCTGTATTCGCAAAACACCTCAGGAGGGTAACCATGACGATGTACTTACCGTTTTGGCATGTCAGGCCTGAGTACCCAGGTGCACAAGAACACACGTAGGGACTACTATTTGTGATGCATGTCCCGCCGTTGCCACATTCACTAGAACTAGTACAAACTGGAGCTGAAACATGTTAAATACTTTCATGTAAACTGCTCGAGAAACCTAAAACAGCTTGTGTTGTTTTGTGATCAGGCACAAAAAGAAATAACGTTTTTACCACTTGGCTACTCCACCGCCCCCCTTTACGACGTCCGTGGATACAGTTATGACAACCTGAACTCGTCACGTCGATGACCCGGGTTCAATTAATGCGTTGGGTGACGCCTATTTTCAGTGTCCAGACCATTACCGAATAATGTCCTGAACACTCTTTTTGAATTGAAGAAACCGGGTACTCATCATTCATCCCCAATAATGACGTTTACTAAAGAGTTTTGATTTAACGTGCAAAAATCAGAAACAAAGATACATATTTCACAGAACAGCATGAATACTAAATGGCCAAACGCCGAAGTGTCGAACCAAAGATGTGTACAAAATAGATTCTGGGTTGATGCGTGTTACATATGTAGTCAGCATTTTCGGTTGTGTCGAGCAAGGGATAACTCGAAGTATTCACGTACTTCGGCACAACGGCGTTTGACTACTTTGAATGTGTGGGGTGTTCGTACATCAGAACAAAAACTCACCCGCATCCACCTTTCTTGGCTCGAGTATGGCTCACATTCAAAATCACATGCAAAACATCTTCACACAGTTCTGAGAGAGTGAGTGAGTGAATGAGTGAATGAGTGAGTGAGTGAGTGAGTGAGTTTAGTTTTACGCCGGTTTTATCAGTATTCCAGCAATATCACGGCGGGGGACTGCCAAAATGGGCTTCGCATATTGTACCCATGTAGGGAACTGAACCCAGGTCTTCGGCGTGAAGAGTGAACGCGTTTAACCACTGGGCTACCCCACCTTCCCTGTATTCACAAAACACCTCAGGAGGGTAACCATGACGATGTACTTACCGTTTTGGCATGTCAGGCCTGAGTACCCAGGTGCACAAGAACACACGTAGGGACTACTACTTGTGATGCATGTCCCGCCGCTGCCACATTCACTAGAACTAGTACAAACTGGAGCTGAAACATGTTAAATACTTTCATGTAAACTGCTCGAGAAACCTAAAACAGCTTGTATTGTTTTGTGATCAGGCACAAAAAGAAATAACGTTTTTACCACTTGGCTACTCCACCGCCCCCCTTTACGACGTCCGTGGATATAGTGATGACAACCTGAACTCGTCACGTCGATGACCCGGGTTCAATTAATGCGTTGGGTGACGCCTATTTTCAGTGTCCAGACCATTACCGAATAATGCCCTGAACACTCTTTTGAATTTAAGAAACCGGGTACTCATCATTCATCCCCAATAATGACGTTTACTAAAGAGTTTTTGATTTAACGTGCAAAAATCAGAAACAAAGATACATATAATCGACAAAACGTTTTCCGTTTCAATGAGAAATCTCTAATAAGTAAATCAATAAAATCACTGCTAAATGCTGAGTTCATTGTAAGATTCCGAGGATGTGTTCAAGATTTACTAGAAACTTTTGATGATACCCAATGTTCCCTCTGAAGCGTTGCCTTGCCTTTGCATTTGTTTGTGACAGGTGCCATCGGTTAAGCAGGATACGCCCACCTTTTTGCCATCCATTTTCATCGCTACTTGATCTACGTGATAGCGTTTCATTGACACATGATTGGGATGTGGTTGAAAAAGTATTCGTAATCATACAAAGGACCCGGATTTAGCAGAATGGCCTTGAGATTATGTTAACGGTTTTGTCTATTTAATTCTATAATATTTTTCATACTAAGTATAATCAACGACTAAAATTACAAACTTACCACGTGCACACCCATCGCCACTGTATCCATTAGTGCAACTACAGACGTCGAAGTTGGGGTTAGGACAGACACCATGCCCACTACAGGAGGCAGCATTGACACAGTTTTGTGCTTCCACGTCAGTGACAAACATAGCTGAGCCTAAACGTAAAAATATACATGATATGTTTTATGGTAAAACAAAAGGTATACAACACATACTATTAATTATATGTAATGAGTTTTACGTCAACCTCTTTCCTTATCAATATGTATGTATTTTTATCTTAAGTATAAATTTGAGGAATATTGTATTTTCTACATTCATATAAACGTTAACATCCTCGTAAAGAATCGAGATAGAATAGGTCTCCAAGGCAACAAACTAGATCGCGTGGTCATGTTTGCTAACGTGGTTGATGCATGGCATCCAATCCCAATTGCGTAGATCGATGCTCGTGATATCAGACACTGGATTGTCTGGTCCACAACCGATAATGTACATATGTCTTGTGTATTGCTAAGGGCAACGTTAAACAACCATCAAAAACTAAGAACAGAGAACTATGAAAGTATATTCCCTGGTGTGTAGTGAAAAGGTACCAAATTGAAAAAGGCCCCTCAATAACATTTAAGACATTATTTTCAATCACTATAATCTTCCTTTGATTATTCATCACACACTGAAGGGGACAAAGTATATACTTTGTATATACACAGAAGTATGAAGAACGATGAGAAGAAGTAGATATCTCACGAAAATAGGGTATGAACGTATACCTACCCAGAACAACGGTGATCCAGAGCAGCTGCATTTTGAAGAGTTTGAAGCAGACTGGTGTTATGTGTACAACGTCGAAGTTCCGCCACTTACACACACATACATATCCAACCTATCACGAACCAACCGGATGTTGTCAGCCAATCGGCTGTAATATCGCTAGACACAAAGAAAGAAACGTCAGTCAATGGAAACCTGAATGAATTATTACATTAACGTGAGTCTCCAGTCATGGAATGCAGATTCTGCAATGTAAATTTGAAACATGATACAAAAAACCTATTCGATGTTGATAGAGGATAAATTAAAATCCTAATGTTTGTAACATCAGAAAGCATGATGATCACTTTACAATGGAACGCACCTGCAGACGAGAGGCATTATGAATAATAAAACTGGTGTTGAAGCATAGGCCTGTCATAGGCCTTTATATTCTCAGAGTTTCGTCTCTTGAATGTCCTCATCATCTTTATTTCCTCCAAATGTGTATGGTCCCCAGGGAGTTGAGATTGATAATACGACGTATGTATGTATGTATGTATGTATGTATGTATGTATGTATGTATGTATGTATGTATGTATGGATGTATGGATGTATGGATGTATGGATGGATTTATTATAAGGAAATGCGAAAATGAGATTAAAGTTCAAATTTTTATAGATAAGGTTATATAGTATGGAAAAAGAGTCTTTGACAAGAAAGTCGTCAGATGGGGTCTGGTCTGCTGAATCACAGTCTGTTGTACACAGAGGCAGAGACCATCCGGAAGCTGGATGTGACCCTCAGAAACTCGCTACGGCAGGATGAGTCTAGGTCGGTGGGCAGTGGCATCCCCGTCATGTAGAGTAGGAGTTGTCCGTCATCACAGGCGTTCAGTATGACGTATTGGATCAGGTCCATATATGGCGAGTCGCAATGTTGACAAGCACGCAGAAGATCTTAGGGCGGGGCTACCCACAGGCAGGAGAGGAAGTCGAGCTGTCTGACGTAACGCCTGTGATCTGACGTGATCCAGGTGACTGCTGGTTTAATGCGAAACCTCCGAAACCTTGAGAAGTCTCTGTCGGTCTGTACTCTGTCGTGGAGTAGAATTGATTGACATTGATGTTCACAGTTCATTTCCATATTGATTCTGTTGGTATACCTCCGAATTGAACATATTGCTGGAACAGGTCCTGTGTGTTGAATTTGCGGAGCTTTTCGATGATGTCTGGGACAAAGCTGTGCTTTTGACCTGGGAGGGTGCCTGAAGAATTTGATGTTGAAGAGGTGCCTGAATACTGTGCTGGAGCTTAACGAACATAGTAAGTGGAGGAACATCAGCTTTCTTTTGTCTATTTCAGCTTCGATGCAGTGCCAGCCTAGTCATGTCCGTTCTTTTTGCTTTCGGAACCCTTGAATCCTCTTAGCGAAATACTTCCAAGGTATCTCAAGCTTGCTTAGGTATGTTGTACTGATATTGTTCCACAAGTCACACCTGTATTACATCGAAGGCAGGACTATCTTTTTAACAAAGTTAACAGCAGTCAGTGGATTGAAAGATTTTGGTTTTATATCCAGCCCGATGATGCCATGAGAAGATGCTTTTCCTTTTGTACATGCATTATCGATAGCGTCAGTTGGCAATACAGCGTCAAAGGCCTTCTTTATGTCAATGAAGGCAGCGAAGACTCTACTCCCGAGGCTTTGACTATGTAAAATGGCTTCTTTAACGTTGAATGTGGCTGTGGTTATGCCAAGTCTTTTCTGGTATCCTTGCTGTTGAGGGTTGAGCAGGATGACATCATTTTTAAACTGTGAGTTTATATTCTGTAATGCACTACGTTCTCAAAAAGCTTGTAGATCACGAGAAGCAGTGGTTTAGGCCTGTAGTTTTTTCGGAAGATGCGTCGGTTTTCTGTTACCTTTGTACATAGGAAGTATTATTCCTTTCTTGCATGCTTCTGAGGTTTTGACTTTGACGTTTCTGGTTTAAATACTTCCAGAAGAGGCGTGAATCTACTTCAGCTAGTTCCTCGAGATTTTGAAATGCTTTTAAGTGCATATCTTCGATTGCTTTTCGTTGAGTTCATCGAGTACAAGGAAATGAATTATTAATGTTTTAAATTATTCACGATGGCGATCTGCAGCGTCTTAGGTCTCCCCTCATTGTTAGTCATTTGGGGAGTAAGAGCAATGAAGTTTTCTCTTTCGATTCGTATGGTTAGTTATATTGTAATTGGCACACGTCACCAGGACAAATAACAGCATGTATTTCCTAAAGCGTTTTTAAATCGTGCCTGAGTACGTTATGCTTCAAGCAAATATATCCATGAACATACACAATGTAATTTAGGAAGTGACCAAATATGACACATGCTATATTTGGGATTACTCTTTCTCAGACGTGCACGTGCACGTGCAACAACGTATTGCACGTCTCAAGGACGAATCCACTGACGTCACGGAACGTGGCACGTGCATGCATGTTGGATAGATGTCACTAATCTCTGAGTTTCATATTGTACTGGGCATATTGTAGTTTCTACATTCATATACACATTAACATCCTCGTGAAAATCCACCAGCACATAATTGTCCTGAGAGGAGACTGGCTTGTCGCAGGAGGCAACTAGCTGGATCGGGTGGTCAGGTTTGCTCACTTGGCTGCATGCCATCCAATCCCAGTGCTCAAGATGTCACTCTCTGGCGTGTCTGGTAGCACACCCGATAATGTACATATGGCTGGTGTATTGCTGAGTTCAATGTTAAACAACCTACAACAACAAAAATAACCAGAGAACTATCAAAGTATCTTCTTGGCTGTATAGTGAAAAAGCACCAAAATGAAAATGGCCCCTTAACATCTAACACTTTAGTTTCAATCACTGTAATCTTCTTTTGATGGGGAGAAATTATACTTTGAACACAGAAGTATGACGAAGAAGAAGGCGATATCTCACCAAAATAGGGTATGAACGCATACCTACCCAGAACAACGGCCATCCACATCAGGTGCATTTTGAAGACTTTGAAACAGACTGGTGCTATCAGTTCTGTACCAACGTCTAAGCCCCGCCACTTGCATATATACTACAAACAAAAAATAAGGGAACATCCTAAAAGTTGATAGTCATATATAAACTGAAACGTGGTGAGTACTCTAAGGCAAATGCAACGTTTTGTGTGCTTAATGGGCACTTTAAACGACATGTTGGAACATGCAGTGAAGCAACTGATTCAACATTCGTTGAGTTTGAGTGAAATGAAACATTGTTAAAACTGCGAAAAACAAGGATGCTGAAACACACCAGCACCATGTTTGTTTTAAACGCCCAAACACAACAGCCTAGTGCATGTGGAAGACAGACTTCCCATGCAGCTTATGGCAACTGAGCTAAGGCAGTTGTGAATCGGTTCCGAAGGGCTTTGACCATAACATATCGGTCATCTGCCCTTGATGCTTTTCTGGGTATTCCAGAGCGAGGTCTGTCCTTTACTCTACCATGGGCCTGGAACCTGTCCCTCAGTCTGTGAATGACAGAAGGAGACACCTGAAGACGGAGAGCAACACTTCTTATGGATTCACCATTCTGTAACCATGCAATGGTCCTGCTTCTGTTGCGGGCGCTTAACGGGTTGCGTTGTGGCATGGTGAAGAAGATGTGAGGCTTCAATACTGTCTGTAGCTTCTTTTAAAGGAAACGTTGCCACAAGTTGCATGGGAAGTCTGTCATGGGAGCAGGACATTCTTTCACCACAAGAGATACAGAATGAAGGATTCTCACCTTTTAATAAATATTCATATGAATAGGACATCGTCGTATAATGAACTTCTTAAATCCGGTCAGACAACTCAAGTAAGTGTTCCGTTATTTATTAATACCAACGTTTTTGCATTTGATCTAATCATACGTTTATAATCACTATAAGGTTTCAGAAGGGGTGTCATATATTTGTTGACTGCTGCCAGTATGACCCCATGGTAAACAGCTTCTGCTTACATGTTTTGACCCCTATGTCGCAAGGCTAGGACTGATGATTAAGGATTCTGTTTTCCATCAAAAGTAGTTTGAATATGATCTTGTTGACGTTCATGTAAACGCAATAGATGAATAGGAAGAATGAAGAATTGTTTTCAAGGAGAAAACAATGCTACCATATTCACAGCCATCCGATTTATGTACATCCAGACTGTCTGAAGTTACCGCAACATCCAGTGTCACATGTACCGCTGTGGCGAGCATATGACAAACTCTCGCTGATACACATCCGGTTTGAACATATAGATACATACATACATGCGTACATTAACAAGGTCGACTATATATTGTGACATATATCGAACTCTGCACTATGTGGATTGTGACACAATATGCAACACTGCATATATACTCTTAAAAACAGGGGAACTGAACTTTCAATTGGATAGGAAGTATAAGCGTTAACAAACATTTCAAAGAAAGCCACCTTATGAACGCACCACCATTTATCTTTGTCGTCACGCCTAAACACAACGCAGTAGCCCATATACGTGTATCGGGTGTCATTATCTTGATTTTGACGGTTTTCAAGAAGGTCGATAAATCACTGTAGACAATTAATTTGGACAATCATCTTGCATCACACAGTTGTTAGTGTTTGTTTCTAGCCGTTTTTTTTTTTTGAAACTGAAAATCGTAGATATGAACATTTCACGTCACACACCAATCATCTTTTAAGAGCGATTACTGTACACACAACTATGGCCATAAGGAAGTGCAAGTGGTGATGCACTCTCAAAACATTCATTATTATCATTTCAACATTGATTAACTGCAATATATCGCCCAATTATTTCAATCGCAAAATAATAATAAAGTTCCCCTCCTTTTTAAAGAGTATATGTACAGCATCGTAAATATTGTCAACTTTGTTAATAATCTGAAGCAAACCTAGCCCTTGACAGTGTAAGTGTTGACATGGTAGACACACACCAGATGATCAGGAAAACAGGATCTGCACGACTACAGTTTCCCGACATAACGCTGCATCTTGACTTGTATCGGGAAGAACTGTTTCCTCCCCCCCGCCCCCGATCAGCACGAAGATATGACATGCACGTCCTGACACAACGCTGG